AAAGCCAGGTGCTATTTTTTTTTACACACAACAAAATGTTTTTTGTTTTTTTTTTCATTTTGTTTATAGAGGTATTTCAAGATATATGCTTTCATTACCTAGGAAATCTAAATATACTGTTCATACCCTTAATTTTTTAAAAATTATTATTATTATTAAAATGTCACATAAATAAGGCCAGGAATGATTTATTATGAAATCCCTCTGAAAAAAATCTTCAGAACACAGCTAAGTGTATAACTGGAAAGTTTGGTGTACATAGGTGCTACATAGGCTGAGATATTTTGACTGGAGAATCACAAAAAAATAATTTTGAGAAAAAGGCATTTAAAGATTTAAGTAGGGAATTGATTACATTTCTATTGGGAAAAAAAAAACTTGGTGGAGGTGTTTGAGTACCCAAACGACCCTAGGAGCTATGTTGTCCGGAGCTATACGCCCCTGGTAGGGTCTCCCAAGACAAACAGGTCCTAGGGGACGGGTCAGTCTAAGAGCGGTTCAAAAAACCTTATGAGTGAATTAAAAAACAAGGACCGGGATGTCGCCCGGTATGTCGCGGCTGGAGCCCCACTCTGGACCGGTATCAATGTAAAGCTCTCAGTCTCCTGCACAACGCTGTGTAACCCAAATAGCTAAAGCTAAAGATGAAATCTCATTGGCTACTGCTAGTTTCTGCTGACATGATTTGCTCACACGCATCACGCGGTGTACTCTGCCAATGTTAATTCATTGATTTATTGCAGTTGTATCTACTGAAAATATATCCAAAATTGTGCATATTTAATGAGATAATGCCTATTTTGCATAATTAAACATACAAATTTCAAAAAACTTAATACATTTTTTTATATAATTGTGTAAGTGATCAACTGAGGAAGTTTCATGGTGATATCTATTATTTAAATTTTTTACCCCTATTCACCTAGTGTCTCGCCTTAAAAGTAGGTATTTTGTTGCAAATATATATACATAAAAAAGGCAGTGAGCCTCCAATATATCTTTGCTCTGATTAAGTTTCTAGATAAACAGTCATGGGTCAGAGCCTCTGACCCATGACTGTTTATCTAGAAACTTAATTTCCTCATCTTGATTGCCTACTTACAAAAAAACTAAGGGAAAATGGTCCAACGACTGAGCAAGATATGCAATTTGGTGGCCATTTTGATATGCAAATTAGAAGGTAAAAAACTCAATTTCGCTTGGGTACCATTTTTTTTGGACTCAGCACCCTTGAAATATATATGGTAGGCCAGTTCCTGACTTGTACCCATAAATGCTCCGCACTTGTTATAGAAGGCCATTTTTCTAATGTTTATTAACTTTTTTACTTTTCACCATCATATGCAAAATAATCAAATATCTTGATATTCTGGTTCAGACTTACAAGAGTTTAAAAAGAAATTAAACAATTCCTGAAAAATTATGAAAATATATATTGAAATATGTACATTTATAATTATTTAATTGCCACACAATTTTAGGAGTTATTTGACATCACAATAGCAACAAGAAGTGTTTGATTTTGTCTTATGGAAATGGACAGTAAAACAAAAAAAGCTTAAGTCGGGATGCAAATGTACATTTGTTTAAATAAACTACATCTGTAAAAAGTGTAAACCTAATTTTTAAATATATATATATATGAACCCAGGTAACAATGCATGACTTTTCACTATACCACAGTAATAAAACAAAATTGATAGATTCTCTATAAACCTTGTGTTATCAAAAACAGTAGTCTAAACATTTAGTATAAATATAAATGAAAAAAGAAGAGAAAAACTGCAATATAGCTTTTAAACAAAAATATTACTGCATTACTCCTCTAAGATATTACTCCTCTAAGATATTAATATATATACATGACTATATTAATATAACAGCATTTAATATGTATATACGGTGAGGAAAATAAGTATTTGAACACCCTGCTATTATACAAGTTGTCCTACTTAGAAATCATGGAGGGGTCTGAAATTGTCATCGTAGGTGCATGTCCACTGTGAGAGACATAATCTAAAAAAAAAAAAAAAATCCAGAAATCACAATGTATGATTTTTTTAATTTTTTTTAAATTTTATTTATTATTTATTTTGCAGATAAGTATTTGAACAGCTGAGAAAATCAATGTTAATATTTGGTACAGTAGCCTTGACCCATCTTCAATGCTATAACTGAGGGAAGGAGGTTGTTCCTCAAAATCTCACAACACATGGCCCCGGTCATCCTCTCCTTAATACAGTGCAGTCTCCCTGTCCCATGTGCAGAAAAACACCCCCAAAGCATGATGCTACCACCCCCATGCTTCACAGTAGGGATGGTATTATTGGGATGGTACTCATCATTCTTCTTCCTCCAAACACGGTTAGTGGAATTATGACCAAAAGTTATATTTTGGTCTCATCTGACCAAATGACTTTCTCCCATGACTCCTCTGGATCATTCAAATGGTTATTTGCAAACTTAAGACGGGCCTTGACATGTGCTGGTTTAATCAGGGGAACCTTCCGTGCCATGCATGATTTGCAAACCATGACGTCTTAGTGTATTACCAACAGTAACCTTGGAAATGTTGGTCCCTGCTCTTTTCAGGTCATTGACCAGCTCCTCCCATGTAGTTCTGTGCTGATTTCTCACCTTTCTTAGGATCATTGAGACCCCACTAGGTGAGATCTTGCATGGAGCCCCATTCCGAGGGAGATCATGTTTAGACAGTCATCTTTAGTTTCTTCCATTTTCTAATGATTGCTCTAACAGTGGACCTTTTTTCACCAAGCTGCTTGGCAATTTCCCCGTTGCCCTTTTCAGCCTTGTGGAGGTGTACAATTTTGTCTCTAGTGTCTTTAGACAGCTCTTTAGTCTTGGTCATGTTAGTTGTTGGATTCTTACTGATTGTATGGGGTGGACAGGTGTCTTTATGCAGCTAATGACCTCAAACAGGTGCATCTAATTTAGTATAATAATGGACAGGAGGTGGACATTTTAAGGCAGTCCAACAGGTCTTTGAGGGTCATAACTAGCTGATAGACAGGTGTTCAAATGCTTATTTTGCAGCTGTATCATTTAAATAAATAATCAATCATATATTGTGATTTCTGAATTTTTTTTTTTTTTAGATTATATGGACATGGACATATTGGACATGCACCTATGATGACAATTTCAGACCCTTCCATGATTTCTAAGTGGGAGAACTTGCAAAATAGCAGGGTGCTCAAATACTTATTTTCATCACTGTATACTGGCACATTTCTAGCCTGGTTCAACCAGACTCTAGAACATTTCATTTCATCTTAATTACCTTAATTATGGTCTAAAGTATGTGTTTGCACATTTTTATATGGCATTTAGTTTTTTTGTTTTTATTAAAACAAATTAACCATTGACATCTAAAACTGAAAATCAAATTACATCTTCAAAGTATGGGTTTTCACATTTTTATTTATGACAATTATTTTTAAAAAAAATCACAACCAATTTGTATGATTTACAACATGTAAAACTGACACACCAACCTCCTACATGAGTACACAAAGGGGCTCAAAATGTTATATTCATCACAAGAATCAGTAAATTTACTGTTGGGAATATGAGCTATGGACATAGGCTAACTCCTGAGCGGATCTTCAACAATAGTTTAGCTTTAGCAGCCAGGACTCGGGGCTTCCGAACACCAGGCTAAAGTCCAAAATACCGAATAGCTTTTCTCACGTCTTTCTCCGCTGCCATTACTGAACTCAAACCGACGCGCTACATCAACGTCATGGTTCTCAACCACTCCCTCTATTTGCTGATTGGTCCTACAAAAAATTGATTTCTTGAAACCTAACGATATACAGCAGTCCCAGACGTAGTACTGAAGGAAAATGAAATTGAGCGGAAGTGCGTAGGAGGGCGCAGCCAGGCTAGCACATTTCTGCCAAAAAAGTTTATTTTACTACAAACGTAAATTCATAAGTTGTGGAGTGAAATGTCTTCTAAATGGTTTGTTCTTCGAACAACTGTTTTTTTGAGTTAATATGTTGAGAATATCAGCACTGTTTCATCTGGCTTTAACTAGTTTGAATCACAGAGTCATATCTGGGTTTCTAATAGAGATTGAGAAGCATTTGAATTCAGTGCAGAATTCTCTGTGGATAGTGCAGCTCTGTTTAATGTTTGCGTGACTGAGATCAGGCCGCACTTAAATGCATCTGCTTTGGACGCGATCCCTGTTTTTTCTGTGCTGCACAGTTCAAACAAGTTTTGTTTCGCTTTTTGAGCTTTTTGCCATTTGATGTTTCTCATACGCAACGCGAATGACAGCGTATAATCAAAGAGAGTTGGGTAATTTTGTAGAGGCAACAGTATAAAATTTTAGTTGCACTGACATGAAAAAATGGTCTCAAAACCATAGAATTTAGTCTGGAGCCCCGATTTACAGTGGATCGCTAATAGTAGGGGCTATTTTTGGGCACCACATTGTAGACCACTGCTCTACGCTATTTCTCTCTTGAAGTTGTCAACAATAAAAATGTCTTTGTATTCTTTTAAACTAGAGTTGTAGGTATCATTCAGTCCCCTCACTCAAGCACTCGTCAATGCAGGTGTCTAATGTTGTTGCTGTCTCCAGTAGTTTGTAGTTTTTCGTAGTTTGTAGTCTTATCGGTTTCTTTTTTTTACTATGAAACAATAGACCTGGGCAGTGTTGCTACCTTGTGAACTAGTTAATTAGTGCAAAAAAACTCAAGGCACATATGTTAGCTGAGCGTACACAGTATGCACATTTAGACATCTGTCTGCGCACACTTGGCTAATGATGAAATCTGAGTCACGCACACTTTAACGCATACGCTAGCATATGCATAAAAAAAACCGAAGCATACTTTTGATAATAGGATTTTTTTTATGTTGAAAGAGTGTGTCTGTTATTGCTGCTTTTTTATTGCACAGTACCTTTTTTGTGAGCTTTTTCATGAGCACTGAGGATCTGCTGTGTAATGCATACAGTGTGTTTTCAGGATCAGAAGCGTATGGAGAAGGTGTCGAAAAGGGTAAATGCTATTCAGGAAGTAAAGGAGAGTGTTGGGCTTCTCTCTCAACTACTGGGAGATTACAACAAAGAGAGCAGCTCACAAAGCAATGAAGAGCTTATTAAGGTCAGTAACACATGTCAGCAAAACAACCTGTCACACCCCTTATAGGATAGTGGTGGATTTAGAACTACTATGTCACTTTCTCAGGATCTGTACCAACGCTGTGAGAAAATGAGACCCACTCTCTTCAGACTGGCTAGTGATACTGAGGACAACGATGAAGCTCTCGGTGAGGCATACAGTTCGAAGGGCCAAATCAATAATTTCACAAATAGTGCCAATGAGTTGATGATATGGGTACATTTCCGACACTGTCTTTGTTTATGTCTTTGTCTGCAGCTGAGATCTTGCAGGCGAATGACAGCTTAACACAGGTGATCAATCTGTACAGGCAGCTAGTGAAAGGGGAAGAGGTGAATGGAGACACCGTCAATACAGCCAGACTCCCAGGTACAGCACTGACATCAGCTGTGAGCTCATTGATGCCTAAAGATTTTAAGCCTCATAGAAATAATCATAAAGCATTGTTAAAGGGGTGTTTCACCACTGGTAAAATGGGCTTTCAATAAAACTTGCCTGCCTATGCAGCAGAAAGGCAAAATATTGTTTTGAAATCTGTGAGAAAACAAAGAAAAACGGCTGTTGTCTTCCTGTTTGCCAAATAGGTAGGAAAGCAACACGGTGCTGGCATGTTGCTGTCCAAGGCCACTCCCATCAGACTGCTATGTATACACTTGACTAGATTCAAATACTGCCTTTCTTTAGTTGGAAGTACTTCTTAGTAAACGTTGTCGTCATAGTGTCGACTTGTTTTGTTCACTGGTGTAAGAATTCAAAGAGTAAAGGTTTATGGGAATGGGTTACTTTCAATTTCCATTGATGGGTCCAGTGTGTTGTAGTCAAAATCTGAAAAACCTCAGTGTTTGTAGTCAACATTTCAAATTGGATGACTACGAACACAGTGTTTTATGCCAAACGGAAGGGTAAAAAACTGAAAGAAACTGTCATTTTGTCAGTTCTGCCCAACCTCCCGAAGCAAAACAGTTGTGTACAGATAAAAAAGCTGTTGCCATAGTGTTAATTTTTTTACTATAATGCTGTTTAAAGAGACAAAATATTATATAATTTTCAATATACTCTTACAATAAATGTTCTGTTAATAACTTTCTGTCGATCAGACTGTCCGTGGTAGGGGCTACAAAAATGCGAAAGTATAATCTGTTTTCAAAGAAGTCCTGGTGCTGTCAAAAGTCTGCCAGAGGACCCTTTTTCATTAACATTTACTACAGATATTGTAACAATTCAAAGCAGATTGAAAATCTTTAATATAGTTTCTCCGTTTGCTGTGAACCTTGTTCTATGTTTTTTAGAAATTATTGTGTAATAGAATGCCCACTAATGTGGGCATAATTTCCTATGTTTTTTCTAAAGTGTGATTGGATACTCTTGGTGTTCATAGGCAGCAGTACCGCTTTGTTGGACCTGACAGGACTGGACACATCCCTTTCAGCTCAGTCTTTCTCTGAATTTCCCTCTCAGACACCATCTTCACAGGAGCTGGGCTTCAGTCTTCTGGATGATGAGCTCATGTCCCTGGGTAAGACATCTGTGATGATATTTGTATTCTCTTGTAGAGATGCACGGTTGGCGGTTATCGGGCGGATGACGTGTCTAAAAAATATATTTTAACTAAATTTGGGCAGGTGGCGGGCGGTTGAACCAAATTATGTGCCAAAATGCGTTTTATATTAGGCTACAATGAAAATATTGAACAGGTCAGTGTGAAGAGTTTCAGTGTGTGTGGAAGGAAGAAGACAGGGTAGGCGTGACTGGGACTCGCGTTTATTCAGAAAAACAAAAAGAAACGAGGCGCACAGTAGTGCATTTGGCACCATAAACAAACACGCGATCCAACACTTGCTCCTCAGTCTCGGTTGCAGTAGCCGCGTGCGAAGTCCCAGTCCAACTCTCTCTCTCTCGCTCTCTCATTCCCGCCGGTTATATGCGGTCTCAATCAGACACAGGTGTTCATCTGCACTTGACGCGCGGCTCCGTCCTTTCTCTTCCGCTACAGACTTCGCAAAATCACACCCCCCTCGCCACAATCAGGTTTGCCGAAGTGCATTTAATTTATTTATTTTTGTCCCTGCGTGCCGATCGGAGACGGAGTTCACTGCTGATATTCTGAGAGCTTTCTAGTATCGCGGCTGTCATCAGCAGCACCTTGTATCGCCCAATCAGCGGATGGCGGGTAGGTGCGGTTTTGAAAATTGGTCAAAACTTTGGTGCGGATGGATGGCGTAGTTTTGTGATGCGGTTGCGGATAAAATAATAGCCCATCTGTGCATCTCTATATAGTATACCATGCCCACGAGTGATATTCCCTTAGGCCACGCCCCCTTGTCTCCCCAAAGTATTATAAGCGATCATGCACATCCCGTGTGCAGAATGATGCACTTGAAGCAACACCAAGTCACAGCACACAACGCTTCACATTGAAAAGAACATAGCGAAGGGATTATATCTATAATCTATGCTTAGTAGGGCTGCACGATTTGGGGAAAATGTCATATTGCCATTATTGAGCCAATATTGCAATTGCGATTTGCGACTCCGATATAATAAAATGGTTTCATGAGTCCAACTTGCTTGGTTCTAAAGTAAAATGCAAACACAGATTAATGTTTATTTCTCAACTCAAACTAAAAACAACAACAACAATAAATGATTGATAACACCTATAATGATCAATAAACCATCAACCAAACCAACATTACAGTGATTCCATCATTACAATTGAAAGCTATCAACTTTTTAAAAAATTATTAGGCTTAAAAAAATATATAACAGCTTTTAAATTAAGTGAACTTCAAACAATCCCCACATAAACCCATAATAAAAAACATATTTACCTGTGCCCTTCCTGTCTTAACAGAAATTGAATAAAGTTATCAAACAGTCTGCGCTGCATGAATCATAAATTCTATATAGAATAATCCTTATTAAAGCTACAAAAGTTCTTTAGTCAAGATCAGTGAGTATTTTTCTAATTTCCCTTTGTTCTTTTAACTTTACTGACAGAACGCTTTATTCGCTGCTGGCCCTTTAAGAGAACCCGTTGCCGAGACGCGGATCTCACACGTGCCTCATAGCACAACTCTTTTCATCCATAGACTTTTCTTATGTTATGAAGATACTAGACAAAACGACATTTTGGCATAATTGTGTGTGCTATTGTTCGTTCAAGCTCGAAAGAGAACTGTTTATTCTGGCACGCGGTCAGTGCATGCGCATTATGCGAGTCTCGTCTATTCTAGGGCACTCACAGGCAGCTTTTCACTTCTTGTCGTGCAAAATGCGAAAAGGCATTTGCACCAATAAGAGGGGGATCTTGTAACACTAGTCAAAGGATGACAAAAAAGAAGAGATGCTGCGTTAATAGCCCTAATTTGTTTATTTCATATAAAATCGCGTCATTTTGCGTTATATAATTGCATAGGTTTGAGATCGCTATTACGACTGCGATATGATTAATCGTGCAGCACTAATGCTTAGTGTATTCTAAAGGGCAATAAACTCCACTCCAGCAAGATAGTCATTTTAAGCAAATCATAGACCTTTATGCTTTATCTACAAAATAAAGTATAATATCGGGAACATTGATCTTGAAGAGAGTGTCGTCGTGTTACTGTCGCAACCGAACGCGACACGCTGTGTGAATGCTGAATGCATGGAGAATGACTGAGGCGAGATGACTTTCCGTTAACTTTAACTTAGAGACTAAAATATTAATTTTGCCACACATTATGCTATTGAATGACTTTAGAAGTCTTGGTATATAGTGTGAAAACTTGATTGTGCTTTACAAAGTTTTTTATGCCTTTAGTGGGAATTAACAAAATAACACAATATGCAGAATGTCGGACGTCACTGAAAAGCTGCAGCCGTGGTGGGAGGATTTTAAGTGTGGCGGCCCGCCACGGGAGAATGAATGTAGCGGAAACACTGTACCATGTATCTTCTTGATATTATATGGATTGTGAATTAAGGCATATTAAGGATTGCGTGAAAAGTGGGTGGACTTAACCCCAAAATGCATGACCCAACACAAAAACCTAAATGAATGCATAAAAATGTAAAAATGATCTGTCCTGGTTTCAGTGGTTTTCTTATAAAGAGCAACATGCAGGTTGGACACCCCTACATAGCAGAGTGTATGTTGATGATAAAACTACTAGATTTTCTGAACTGGAGTAATATATATTTAGCCATTAACGATATTTTGAGAAAAATTGTGTTAAAATATCTTCCGCGTCTATAAAGCACTAACCGGAAGTGACGATCGGCGAGGGAGTATGTTCAAGTTCAAGCTCAGGTTACAATGGATGCGAATGAAGAAACCGAGTTCTCCGATGTTGACGAACATGCCTATGATGGCCAACAGGCCTATTATTATGAGCCTCCTAGGCGAGATAGAAGTCAGGGGGAGATCGGGGGAGGAACAATGGGCAGAGGAGAGAAGTAACGTTAGAGTTGTGGTGTCGAAAACCAGTGGCGAATACGGCAAGTGACTTGGTGAGTTGATGTAAGTTAGCACCGTGACCATCTACTGTATGGCTAGTACCTTGGTGTTTTGCAATAAATCTGCTTTAGCAAACATACTTTCGACTTTGTTCTTGATTAAACATCCATCTAGATTGTCTTAATTTAAGCCAGCAACATTTTGTCTTCTCATATTCTACGCTGACAGTGATTATGCAGTCCATCCAAGCTGGTTAGCACTATCTACATTGACTAATGACCATGCCATAACAACAAATAAATAATTACAATTTTTTTTTTTTTTTTAAATTTATTTAAAGGATTAGTTAACTTTAAAAAAAAAAACATTTGCTGATAATTTACTCACCCCCATGTCATCCAAGATGTCCATGTCTTTCTTTCTCCAGTCGAAAAGAAATTAAGGTTTTTGATGAAAACATTACAGGATTTTTTTTTCCATATAATGGACTTACATGGACCCTAACTTTTCAAGGTCCAAATGACCGTTTCAGTGCAGCATCTAAACGATTTAAACTATACCAGGCGATGAATAAGGGTCTTATCTAGCGAAACGATCGGTCATTTAAAAAATAAGTAAAAAAAGGTTTTTTTATAAGCACAAATGCTCACCTTGCTCTGTTCTGTGATGCGTGTTCGTGACTCTCCTGTTCGAACTCGTTCCTCAAAATGAACAAATCTTTTTTCAAGTAATTTTGTTCATTCAACAAACGAAATGATTCGAAAAAACATTTGTTCATTTTGATGAACGAGTTCGAACAGGAGAGTCACGAACGCACTGACAGTAAAAACATTTTTTCACTAGCGATGTAATGACAGCTCTGTTTTTGGAGCAGATGAACTTACAGTTTTGCTATTAGTAGAGACGCACACTGTTGAGAGATGCACAGACTCAGGTAATTCATATATGCTTAAAAACTAAAAAAATCTCAATAGCTCTAAAATTGAATTTTGGAATTAGCAATGGAGGCTTGGAATTAAATGTGAAAAAAAAAAATCCTAGACACAAGCGTTTTAAGGACAAAAACCTGACAAATGTCTTTGTCACCTTTGCCCCCCCCATTTCAATATTTAGAGCCCAAGCCCAGGCAAGCCCAGGGGCAGAGGCTCTATTGTATTCCTAAGGATTCTTAGGGCCCAAGCCATCTCTAGAAAACAGTTTGCACAGCAATAATTATTTGCACTTAAACAAATGCTTCAAAATCTATTTTGAGGTTGCACAGACTAAATCTAGGGAGCATTTGCGACCAAAAAGGTCACAATTTCAAACCTTTTCTCATTATAACCAACTAAGTATAGATATGATGTAAATAGGAGATTGATTGTGCAGTTTAGTCAGGTTTACTGATTGTACGGTTGTTTTCGAGAGAGCAGAACCGTTAACTCACGCTGAAATTAAGCCATTAACTGCTTTAGCAATAAATAAAGAGAGCACTCTTTGCTTGTTTTCTCTATGTAATCTATTCTCCATGGAACGAAACAACACGGGTGAAGTGCCTCGAGAGCCGCAAAGTAAAAAAACAAAACAATTTTACATTAAATTGTAGGGAGAAACTGCATTTCATATTCCAGTTCAAACCATTAAATGTATTTTATAGTGGTATGTAATGATCAAGAAATGTATACCTGACTTTTGTTTGGGTGGCACTAGCTTTTGGGAGCCGTCTCAGCTATTGGCCATTCATTCCTTGAAAGTAATTTTGCAAACTGAGCTTCAGTAGAAAGCTAATTCAGCAGAAACTTTGCACAGTAAACAGTAAGTGCAGTGACAAGACCATGTGTGGCATTACATGCTCATGTTTGTAACTCTGTTTCAGGCTTGACTGAAGTCAATTCACCTTCCCAATATGGAGATGATATGACGTGGAATACTTTTCAGGTGGGCATGAGTTGACTTTATCAAGATTTGTTTTCAAATTGTTGTTATAAGACAGTACACAAACAATATGGAGACTGGAGAGCTATTCTATTTACAGTACCAGGAATTATTTATCTTACCTGCAGGTATTATTACATGTCAGTAATCTCTCTTTGGTGGAACCCCCCAACTAGCCTTTTTTAATCACGGTTTTAACCTTAAAGTCTAAATCCATGTAAGATTTTTGGTCCGACAAAAAGAGGTACTCTCGGTCAGGTGCTGCAGGTAATGCCATAAAAATAACATTATAGTTGCAAAGATATGCGTCTGTTCTTTCATGTTGTCAAAGTTACCCGCCGAATTGACAACACACTAACGTCAGACGCACGTCCATTTACAAACCAATCAATGTCAAAATGCAGCCCACATAGATGATGACGACAGGACTCAAGTATGTCACGTGAAGTTGTATAGTGTGCTCGCATTATTGCAGTGTGAAACCAAACCAAAACTTTCTGAAAGTATAAAATGTATCAAAACATGAACTTTGGTTGGGACCTTGTTGCAGACTTTCAGGTGTGAAAATGCCCCAAGAATGTTTAAATTCAGAGAAAAAGGCAGTTTTAATTAACCAAGACACGGACCATGTCCGTGCGTCGCCTATTTATGACATCATATCTGTGTTACCCTCGATTTCCGTTATATTTTGTATGGAAACACAAAAGACGCTTTAATATGTTATGTGTTTTATTAGACAGGTGAACAATTGGGTGGATATTTTCATCAGAGCAATCGCTCCAGCGGCCTCGTTCCGCTCGAATTGCTTTCGCAACGTTAATTAATCTTTAATACAATACCGGTCATCCATGAATATGATTTCTGCCTGAGTTCTGTCGTATTATCCACCGGCTGTAGAGGTGAAGATAACAATTCCCATGATTTTGTGAAATCAAGGTGTCTTCAAGCTACGCCTTTGTTTTTAATAAACAAGCTCTGGTGGCGAAAAGTCACATAGTGTGTCTTTAAAATGCAATACTTACAGTATTAATATAATTCTTATAATCTGTATTTTTTTTTTACTTTTGCAGAGTTTTTTTTAATTAAATTTGAATATTTAAAAAATATATATATTTTGCCCACAGTATTAAATTAACATCAGCAGTATGACAACAGGATGTTTTTCCCCTTTCTACCCCTAGTATCTGTCAGTGCGGTGTGAATTAGCCTTTTTTTGTCTGTCAAGAATAAGGTCTGCTGGCTCTGATGTTGCAACATACAGAATGCAGTTTGATAAGTGCCTACCTTAAGAGTGAATTGTCAACAACTCACCACTATTTGATTATGGAAATCCCTAGTCAGTTGATGACTTGGGTAAATAACATTATGTTGTATACATGTTAACCATACCACTTCAATGTTTTGTTTAGTCATCAGATTCTGTGGAAGCTCCCGTAGCGCCAGTCCCTGCAGTGCTGTTGCCAGTGGCAAGTGCTAACAAGACGCCAGTAACTGTGCCTGTGACATCCACTAAATCCTTAGACGAGTTAGACCTGTTGGGAAAGACCCTGATGCAGCAGTCTCTACCCCCAGAAAATCTTCAAGTCAAATGGTAAATGTATACCTGTTTCCATTTTTCTATTCAATTAGTGAAACGTATTATAACGGTTGGGTGAAATGTATGGGACCCTATACTTGGCTACATGTCATCACTTTCACTTAAAAATGGTTGCTCTTAAGGCCTTTAAAATATATGATTGGAAAATGTTTGCTTGTTAATAAATGCAAAGATTATTGAGAACTTTCAGATTACTGGTAATATTCATGGTTTAAAAATATATCTGGCTATATCAGTGCAACAGATATACATTGAAACTTTTTCAACAGGGACAAGCTTCAGTCTCAGTCCAAACCCACACTACGAGACCTTCAGATCAAGTCTGGAAATAACTCTGCTACAACCCCCAGCCCTGTGTTGGCCTTTTCCTCTGAGCCAGGAGCTCTGCTGAATTCACAGCTCACAGCAGGCATCACTCCAGCCTCTACCCCTCAGGATGACATATCATTGGTGAATCTGACTGTGCCCCTGGAGTCTATCAAACCTAGTAAGACTTAGGGCAGACTGTTTTAAAAGTAGTTGTTTAACCTAACAATGAGAATTGTCTCTCCTTTTTTATCTCTCATGTCATTTCAAAACCTGTACATAAAATCAGAACATTTTAACCCTCTGGGGTTGTTCGTTTCAGAGTCACACTTGGGGTGTTCGGGTCCAAATGGACCCGAAGGGCAGGATTCATATTTAAAAAAAAAAAAATCATAATTTTTTTTTTACTTGTTTTTTATATATTTTTTTTCTTTTCTTTTTTGGTGTTTTGAGATAATTTTATGATTTATAATTAATATTTATGCAATAATTATGACCCATTTTTTCCCATTGAACACAATAGAATTTTTTTTTTTTTTTTTTTTTTTATCAAAGCTGTATTACATTTTAGAGTGAAGCCTAGGCCTCATGAAAGCAATTTTTGAAAAAAGATAGATGTCATCTAGTAGACACACTGAGCATTTTTATCACGCAATAGCACATTTTTACCACTTTAGTGGATTAGTGGATACAGTACAGCTCTCTGTAGAAAGGCTTGGGGATTCTAGTGATTTTTGCAAATACCAATTGTTTTTACCAAAACAGATTCTCAAAGACTATTTTTGTCTTGTTTTTTGTTTGTTTGGTTGGTTTAGATGGTAATTTGAAGTTTATTATACAATCAAATCTGAACATTTGCATTGGAAAGAGAACAAATGGAAAGCATTTTGTTACCCAATGTTTAATTCTTATTCTAACTTAATAAAAATGCAATTCTTTCAGTCATAACATATATTTAAATTATTTGCATACTATTTACATAGGCCATTCTATGAACAGTAACTCAAAATTGGCACAGGTGCTGCATTAGGCCTGGAGGTTGCTAGGGTAGAACTCCATCCTTTGATCTAATCTCTGTGTGTGTGTGTGTGTGTGTGTGTGTGTGTGTGTGTGTGTGGTGTGTGTGTGTGTGTGTGTGTGTGTGTGTGTGTGTGTGTGTGTGTGTGTGCGTGTGTGCCTGTTTTGCACTCTTGATGTTTTAGAGATTCACCCCTTCACCATTGAGTCATTTTTTTCTGCATTCTGGCTGATTTGTATATTGTATGCACAAAAAAACTGTTTTCATATTTTTGACAATTTCCCATTCATTTCCAATGGTGGTAATTTGGACCCGAATGTCCTGAGTGTGATAAAAAAAAAAATTACAACCACTTAGACTATTCAAATAGACTATTCTATTTGAACAGTCTATGTTTTCATATTGAATAATCTGTGTTTTCATATTTTTGACAATTTCCCATTCATTTCCTATGGGGGTCCATTTGAACCCGAAGGTCCTGAGTGTGACTATTTTTTTACAACCACTTAGACTGTTCACATCCTGTCCCCAATTTTTTTGTGTGTTCACAAAGCTAATAACATTAAAGTCACATAGTTTCGTAACATTCCGATGAAGCTGTGATTTTTTAAAAATTCAAAACAGATTTATGTAATCTGAATTTATGAGTGTGAAAGTGTATAAAAGTGTGTTTGTTTGTGTGAGTGTGTGTGGTTGTGTCTGTTTTGCACTCTTTGTGTTTTATAGATTCACCCCTTCACTGTTGTGTGCTTTTTTTTATGGATTGTGTCTGATTTGTAGATTGTACGCACCAAAAAACTGTTTTGTGAAAAAATGTGTTTTTTCACATTTCATTTCCTATGGGGGTCCATTTGGACCCGAACACCCCAAGTGTGACTATTTTTTTTACAACCTCTTAGACTGTTCACATCCTGTCCCCATTTTTTTTGGTTGTTCATATACCAAATACCAACAAAGTCACCAAATTTCGGACCATTCCGAAGAAGCTGTGATTTTTAAAAAAAATTTGGTCCCACTTTATATTAAGTGGCTTTAAGTGCTATGTACTTACATCTAAAAATAGGTACAATGTACTTATTGTGCTCATGTTGTATAGTAAATCACTTTTGCTGCTATTGAGGAGTGATACAGGTAAGGTTAGGGACAGGTGTGGTGGTATGGGTAGGTTTAAGGGTGGGTTTAAGTGTAAGGGATGGGTCAGCTGTGTAATTACAGATGTAATTACATAAATTAATTACAGCTGTAATTGCATGCTGATATTTTTAAAATATAAGTACAACGTAAAAACATGTATGTACACAATAAGTCCATTGTATCAAATGATTAATTTCAATGTAAGTACATGGTACTTAAAGCCACTTAATATAAAGTGGGACCAAAAAGTTTATTTGAATGCTTCGGGTCCATTTGGGCCGAACAACCCCAGAGGTTTTTAAAGAATTTGGCTGTTTGTTATTTTCCATGCAATTACAACTGGTTTCCTGAAGGTCTTTAAAAAGCCTTTAAAATACTTCAATTTAGTTTCATAATTTAAGACTGGAGAAAGTCTTGAGTATCTTTCATTTTATTTAAAAAACAGATAGTTTGCAAACATCTTAGATTTGGTAAAGGACAAACTGGAGACAACTCACATAAATTCATATCACAGAGTTAAAGGAATAGTCCACTTAAAATTTAAAATTGTCATTTACTCACCCTCAAATTGTTTCAAACCTGTATATGCATTCTCAAAATATGTCTGTACAGACATCTTTTGTGTTCAGCAGAAGAAATAAATTCATAGAGGTTTTAAACATGGGTTTAATGTTTATTTATTTATTTTTTGCTTTACTATAAACTCCAAAAGTTAACAATTTTGAGAGTCTGATTTGAGTAGTCAGTTCTGTAAAGTAAAACTTTAAAATGATTTGTGAGTCACATGATCTGTTTATGTTAGGAACAAAAAAAAAAGAACAATCATTATTTTGATCATTATGATACACCAAAAAGCATTACATCTGCCCTAGCTCTTTGTGGTGTGTTCATGACTGAAGTCGAGATGAGCGAACTGTTCTATTGTTGTCTATTGAAATAAAGGAGAATTATCAATTATGAATTATCAACAAAAAAAATTGGCTTTAATGGCAGTCTGTTCCTCACAAAGCTGTTGTATTCCTTCAGCACACAAGTCATATCGACTTCTTTTATTGTGCTTTTGTGTTCTTTTGGACGCTTGAAAGGCTCAGTCCGCATAGGGATTAATTGTATGGAAAAGAGTCTCTAGTACAGTTTTTAAAGATGTCTTGTGTTGTGGATGCTTTTTCTTTTTGTTGTTTGTTTTAAAGCAAGGATGTGTTGACCCTTTTGTTTTATTCCTGTGTTTTAGTGCTGTTAAGAACATCCATTCAATTGAAGATTTATTTAAAGATTCCTTTTTCTCTGTCTGACCTCACAGGTAGTTTGTTACCCGTGACAATCTTTGATAAACACAGCCTGCGAGTTTTGTTCCATTTTGCAAGAGACTGTCCACCAGCCCGGCCAGATGTTTTAGTGGTGATAATCTCCATGTTGTCGTCTGCCCCTGTGCCCATCACAAATGTACGATTCCAGTCTGCTGTTCCTAAGGTAACTATCTGTACATGTGTCTTCAGTAAATCTCTAATGAATTTTGTATTAAAGCTGTATCCTATGTATGTGCAGACGATGAGAGTGAGGTTGCAGCCACCATCGGGATCAGATTTACCAGCCTTCAACCCTTTATTGCCCCCTGCCGCCATAACACAGGTCCTGCTTTTAGCCAATCCTCACAAGGTAAATAAACTGACAGAATCAGAGAATAGATGGGCTGCAACAGTACATATATATTGGGTGCAAAAATAGGGCTTTCGTTATGTACACAAAATGACAGATGGATTTTGCAACATATGTTGTTAAATCCTTGGGACAAGAGATGACCAAATCTACTGGAAATAGAGAATAGACACCAATTCCTTTGGCTAGCATTTTTAAAGCACTCAAGACAAAAGAAAACACGCTGTCTGTACGCTCTTGAAAATCACTCCCTGCTCTTGACTAAAGAAATTTTGTAGCTTTAATAAGGATTATTCTATTTTTAATTTATTATTGATGCAATGTAGGCTGTTTGATAACTATATCATTTCTGTGTAACGTTACAATAAAAGTCTACTTTTATCAGCTTGACGTTGAACTTAAGGCGCTTTTCCACTGCATAGTACGGTACAGTACGGTTCGCTTCAGGTCGCTTTAAATGGTACCTGGTCTGTTGAGGTTCCAAGCGTACCGTACCGGTACTAAAATGTGACGTGAAACACTGCAGATCACTGATTGGTCAGACAGAATCGTCATTCCCTGCGTCACTACTAGCGTCATTGGATTTGCGACACGAGACACTTTTTTTAGCAGTATTTTTGTTTTGCTGCCATCAGCCTCATTTTAAACACATTTTTTCCGTCTAGCAGTTAAAAACAACCACATACCGAGAATCAGGAACACCATCCCCTCGATAGTCTCCATTGTTCCTGTGTTGTGGGTTTGAAAATGTGGCGCTTTTAAGATGATGTCATGGCAGTGAGGCGCGCGCAAATAACGATCAGTCCCACACACTTTGAAGGGGTACTACTGCGGTGGAAACGAAAAGCGATCCGAACTGTTCCGCGCTGAGTCGAAGCGTACTGGGCCGAACCGTACCGTACTATGCAGTGGAAAAGCGCCATTATGCTCCATGCTCGTACCATGATAACGTTACATTTGTGGTGCTATCTAGCATAAGCCATTTCACTAATTTGTGTAATAAAGTGGCCGGTGAGTGTATATATATATATATATATATATATATATATACAGTATATATACAGTATATATACACTACCCATCAAAGGTTTTTAATCATTAAATTAGGGCTTGGAAACGATTAATCGCGATTAATCACATCCAAAATAAAAGTTTGTGTTTACACAATATATGTGTGTGTAGTGTGTATAATTATTTTGTAAGTTTAAATAAACAAACATATGCATGTAAACATTCAAGAAATATTTGCATGTATATACTTTATATATATTTATACAAAATTAATATTATACATAAATATAAATATTTGATATATTAATAACACATTTTTTCTTAAATATATACATGCATATGTGTGTATTTATATATACAAAATAATTATACACACTACACACACATATATTATGTAAACACAAACTTTTATTTTGGATGCGATTAATCGTTTCCCAGCCCTAAATTAAATATTTTGAAAGAAGTGTCTTATACTCACCAAGTCTGCATTTATTATAGTCATGTGAAATATTATTGCAATTTACATTGAACTGTTTTGTATTTATATATATTTTAAAAAAGTCATTTATTCCTGTGATGCCAAAGCTGAATTTCCAGCAGCTGTTATTCCTCTCTTCAGTCTCACATTATAATAATAATCTGATTTGTTGCTTAGGAAGCATTTCTACTTATTATCACAGTTGAAAACTGCTGCTTAATATTTTTGCATAAACCAGGAAACACTAGCATTCAAAAGTCTGGTGTAAGATTTTCTATTTTCTATATAGGTCTTTGGAACTTACTATTCATCAAAGAATCTTTTATTATTATTAAATATATCCGTTTCCTCAAAAATATTAACCAGCTTTCAACATTGATTTTGACTGAAAATAATGGCTGCTGAAAATTCTGCTTTGGCATCACAGGAATAAGTTATATCTTTAAATAATTTAAAATGAAAAAAAACAAACAAACAAAAAAATGAACATTTCACAATATTACTGATTTATTGTATTTTTGATCAAATGCATGCAGCCTTGGTGAGAATCGAACTGTTAAAAAACATTTAAATCTTAATTCCAATGTGATGTGAATGTAATTTGTCAGTAAAGCTCACTAACTGTGCTGGTTATGGTTTGTGGCTTATGTCAGATGTGTGTGACCAGGTTTGTTGCTGATTTGTAGATATTTTCTGATTACATGGCATTTCTTCATGTTCTAACCTATACTTTTTTTTTTTTTTTTTTTTTGAAGGAGAAGGTGCGGTTGAGATACAAACTGACATTTGATTTAGGAGAAGAATCCCACGATGAGAGCGGAGATGTAGAGCAGTTCCCTCCACCAGAGTCCTGGGGAAACCTTTAAAGAAACAGACTGATTTCCTGCTAGCGGCTCCTCTGCTTCCTGATGGCAGTTCATATCCAGACCATATCTCTCTCCTCTCCTTAATGTCCAGATGAGTGCTGAGAAATGAAGTTCGATTTTTATTTTTATTTTTTTATTCCAGTTGTTCTAACTTTTTTCTTTCTTTTTGTTGTTTTCGGCCCTTTTTCTATGAAGCTTTAAATGTTTAAAAGTTAGAGAGATGAGTTTTGTGGTCATTTCTGACATTATTTCCATGTGTGAATTGAAATGCTGGAGTCTCAGTCAGCTGTAATGACAGACCAGGTGAAATTTCACCACTAATTGTTTCATTTTTTCATGGTGTTGATTTAATGTTTTCTGCACTTGCACACATTTTTGATCATATTTCTGTTATTTGTGTGTTCGATTGTATTGTCAAGCTGCATGTGGTTTTACTGGTAACACACCAAACTTGAATCAGTTTCTCAGCAAGAAATACTTAAACTAACTGATCTATATTACAAATCAAACAGCCCTTGATTCATTCATTCATTGTGATTTTTGCATCGTATTAATCATGATTGTCCTCAATCCTAAAATTGCCCTTGTTCTGTAAACTGTACTGCTCGAACTTCACGCTGATGTCTTGTTTATATTTACCGTACGTGCCTAATCAGATTTTCTTTCTTGTTAATGTGAATGTAGACATGCTTGTTTTTAATTGGTAGAATAACATGAGCATTTGCCCCTCGGGTCGACACTTTTGTTTTTTGAATCCTAGACGGTTCCAGTTAGTCTGGTTTTTTTTTTAATGCAGTACAGTTTAATGAATAATATTTTACCCTTGCCATGCTTGTATGAGATATCAGAAAAATTCTGTACTCAGATGATGTTAACAGAAATAATTTGTTGAATTGGAATACTGTGGCATCAGAATTCTCGGCAGACTTAAATTTAAATTCTAGTGTGTGTGTGTGTGTGTGTCCCTACAGTTAAAGGTCTGTGATGAAGCCAGCTGCATTCCAGATTATGTCCTTCCAACCTGAAAAAAAGTGTAAATATCTGCATTGCAATTATGTACATTTGCCAAAAACGTATACAGAGACTAAACATATGGAGAAGTGAATGTAGTGCAAATATGTATTTAAGGGAAATAAAGTTATTCTTTTTCTCTGGGGTTTAAAAGGCATGTTTTCATTTAATTATTTTTAAATCTTTGATCAAAGGTTGAATAAGCTATATAATAATTAAAAAAAAAAAAACTCATTTTTATAAAGATCAGTCTATATTTAAATGAGCTCTTTAGTAAAATCTGTAAAACAAAGAGATTGTATCAAAAGAAGTGGATAGCTGTTTGTAGTGTGATCACACAAAATAGGAATGTAATAATGCAAACAGCAGTCTTGAATGTTTGCATTGGGTACCGTATAAGTAAGGTTGGTTAGTGCTATAAGGTAAGATGCAACGTGGTTAGCTTCTAAAACGGAAGTTACGTTAAAAAAAGGGTTTGTTTCCAGGGTTCCTAAACATTTTCCATTTCAAAATTTCAAACTTTTACAGACCTCCTTCCAAACGATTCTGCAGGCCATATTTAATGTAAATGGTGCACATTTTCAATAAATAGTACAGTCATATGTAAATATTTTTTGTTTTTCATTGGTTTTCTCAAAGTCATAACATGCACTTGCAAGATGAGAAGAAACCTACAAATCTTAGAACCTGCATGTATTCACCTCTGACACCTGACTTATGATACTGTAAATGTAGTTTAATGTTGCATGATGACCAAACCGAAAAGTCGTCTGATTTGGAGGATTGTTTACTCCTTTATCTGTTGCTGGTTTGAGTGGCACACGTACTTTCATTTAGTGAACTTTTAAAAGAGACTCACTTATGGTAAAGAATTGATATAGTCAGTCATGTTTGACAATCACACAATCAAAACTGTTATGAAAACATTGCTTGAAGGGCTGAGTGTTGACAAATTTCACGATTCGATTTGATTTTGATTCTCAAGCTTGTATTTCAATTCAATTTTATTTAGGGGCCAAGCACCGCAGGTGCGGAGGCACCTATTGTATCTGTTCCGTTTCTTCTTCTTCTGACTGGATGTCTATGGAAAGTTATGAAATTTGGTACACTGGACAGTCTGAAAAGTCTTCATAGCAAATTTGGAGTCTCCAACTCAATCCCTCTAGCGCCACCAACTGTCCAAAATTTCACTCATGTTTATGGTAATAACTTTTGAACCATAATGGCTAGAATCACAATTCCTTTGTCGTCTTATTCCTTGGCTCAAGCCGATTCGATTGAACCCTATGACGTCATTTCCGTCGTGACAATTTGTCCGCCATTTTTAATTATCCTAAAAAGCTACTTTTTCGAACTCCTCCTAGGCCGTTGCTCCGATTCTCACCAAAACTGAACCAGATCATCTCCAGACCGTGCCAACCAAAAGTCATGGAATTTATAAAAATGCTGCAAGTCGTTCTCGAATATCACACAAATTAATTTTACGTAGCGCTTGTAAAAACAGATATAAGGCTGTATCTCCGCAACGCTTTATCGTATTTAGGCCAAACTTGGTCCATGTCATCACAAGCATGACCTGAGGCTACATGCTGCGTTTCAGCACAGCGCCACCTACTGGTCTAGAGATATGAAAAATGGCCATTTTTGCTCATAACTTCTGAAAGGTTTGTCCAAAAATCATAAAAGTGAAATTGTTAGATTCAGGGCTTCATGCCGAGTCGACTGATAACCAATTTTCCCAGAACGGGGCCATTTTGAATTATGTGTACTTTTTTGAATGCATTAACGAATTGTTATGAAACTTGGTATGGGTAATGGGTCATGAGTACGATGCCCTGAAGGAGCCTGAAGAAGTTTCTAGTGGTAAAATTAAATTATCAACCACTTATAATTCTGACTGTGGTTGACTTATTTTAACGGGAGTCATCTCGTTGGGTTCCTGAATCGTTGCCGAGTCCAACTATACCGGACTTGCCAGGTTCTGGCATATGGTTTGTACAGCACAGTAATTTAGCGCTTAAAAACATTTGCCGTTATCTTCGAAACCGCTAGTCGGATCGAGACGAAACCACCATCAGAAGTTTGGAAACATATGTTGCTGGCTAAATGCTAACACCCAAATGCAAAAATATTGATAGTAAGGGGTAGTAAAATTCAATCAAAGTCACGTGTCAGTCATTTTTTATGTTTTTTTTTCATATAAATGTCTATAACTCCGAATTGAGATATTTCACCAAATTAGGCACACACATGCATAGGCCCATTCTAACGAATGCATTAGTGTAACATTACGAAACTCAGCTTGTGCCATCAGCCCATCCCCTGAAGGTACTCAAGACAGCACCACCTTTTGGTCAAAGTTATAACAAAATTTCGAATAAAATACTCTTAACTTTTTAATAAATCTGCGTATTTTAATGTCACTGGTCTGAAGGTTTTTTCATTGTCACCAAACTCTGACCACATCACATCAATTTTGTAACTACGCCACCTATTGGTCGAAGGTGATAATCCATTTAATCACATTTTTAGTTAATGTATGTGATTTTTCAACCATTTTGCCAAAATTCATCTTTAAATGTCTTTAAGTGCTCCTTGCTGCCGTTGGTCTGACACATGTTGGCAGGTCTTGTCGTCTTCTTTTTGCTAGGCCCCTTATTGCTGCTTGCAGCTATATTTCAATTCGGTATTGATTAATTGGTGTATCAGGTTAATTTAATTAATTCTGTTAACTACAGGGAACCCCAGTTGATATATTACTATAATATTACTGGTTAAAAATAACTGGTTTATATAGTTTACTTACATTTTAAATTATACAAAGGATGTTTTTTTTATAATAATAATGTTATAATTTTAATGGCATAATGTCTACTCGTGTTTTGTTATTCAGACATACTTTAAATATTGATTAACATGTTAAGTAAAAAATATAATGAATATGCAATAACGCATATACTTAGCAAAATGCTCCTGTCTAAAGTTTATTTTTCTAGCTGACTAACAGGTTTATGGTCATTGATTGGCTTTTCTGAGGTAAATGAAACATTACAACAGGGGTGCCCAATCCAGTTCCAGGAGATCTACCTACCTAAGGAGTTCAGATCAACCTTGATCAAACACACCCGTCTGTCTGTAATCATAAAGTGCTCCTGAAGATCTTAATTATCTGCTTCAGTTGGCTGGAGATGAACTTTGCATGAAGGTAGATCTCCAGGAACAGAATTGGACACCCCGGTTCACAAGCTGTATTATTGACGTCTTTCTGTGTTTGAAACTTTTTGAGTGATTGAGTGATTACATGAGACCGATTTCATTAAGTTGTACTTTATCTTTTAACATTCTTTCTGATGTTCATTCATATGACTAGTAGTAAAGCGGAAGAGATGATCGGTTCACACTTGAACTGAATTTCATACCTTAACTCATCTTTGATCACCAAAATTATATATTTACCGTAAATGTTTTTGTCCTGTGAAAATTTCCTGCCTTAAAATAGCTTGAATGTAACTCTACTACACCCTTGATTCATTTAGTATATGCGGATTGTGAATATGCATATTTTTCATGTAAGCATGTTGATGACATTGACTTGGCAGACATTGGCAGGAGGGTTTCCAGGCTGTGTGGTTAAAGTGGGCAAAATGGCTAAAAGTTAGCAAAACAAAACTAAGTACTTAAGAAATCAATTAAGAATCTTTAATGAAACAAATTACACTGCTTTAAAAAAAAACATCAATAATCATCATGAATAAGTACTAACCAACTGTAATCAAAAGATATATTTAAGAAGATACACATTAAAAAAGTAGATAACTAAACTATGACAAACTAAAGGTGCCCCCATAGCAGGTTTTACTTCAGGACAGATTTGAGAACCAAAAAAACGAAGTATTGTATTAAATGAGAGGCCCTTCTCTCAAGACCCTGGACCACTGGCTTAATTAAACGCAAAGCCATCCTTTTCTATGACAACACAACAGAAAATAAGGAGCACACCATATTACACAGCTATATTAAAATGTTCCAACTGGTAGCAGGGCAGGTTACTATTACAAAAAGAAAAGGTTTGAAAAGACAGAAATGCCTCTGGATGCTACTTTCTGGGAGGGGGAGGAAGGGGTTGTGGTGAGGCAAATGGGTATGGGCCAGGACCCATGAAACCCATGACAGGCTGTGGTGGAGGAGGGAACTGTTGTGCCATGAGTGGCTGCGGACCCGGCCCAGGCTGAGGAGGAGTTGGAGGCGGCGCTCCAAACAGACCTTGGGGAGGTCCAGCCTGATCTTGCCCTCCCGCTCCCCCACCTGGATGTGAACCTCCCCCTCTGGAGCCATACTGCCCCCCTCCTCCACCCCCATAGCTCTGGTATTGGTCACCTCCTTCACTGTTGTAGGAGGGTCCTGAGTTGTAGTTGTTTCGTCCATCCCTACTGCGATCTCTGTAAGAAGAAGAGGAGAAACGGTCGCCTCGGCTGCTCCCACCTGACCTTCCGTCGCGGCTAAAGTTGTTGCTGCGGCTGCCCTTGTTCCCCCCCGATGCAGAGCTCATACGCTGATCACATTCGTCTTGGTACATCATGTTGGGGTTATTTGAGCTTGAGTTGTTGCCACGATAACGCATCCTCCCACCTATGGAAGTAACCAGTGAGAGGCCAGAAATTAGGCTTGAGATACGAGAATTTGAAATGTGAAAAATATCCACATGTTGCCAAACTAGACTGGGAGATTTAGGTTTTACACTCTCAAGGACATAAAACAAACTAAAATATGCCTGCCCAACTGCAGCTCATCTCAACTCTCACCTCCACCTCCCCCACGGCCTGTGTCCACCAGCTGCAGTAGTTTGGGGTTGATGGCCTGTCTAGCCTCCTCAAGAACACGGACCAGATCACGAGCCTGTCGAAGGTTCCCAGGTGTGAAGAAGGTGTAGGCTGTACCTTTGTTGGTGCTACGGGCTGTGCGCCCAATGCGATGAACATAATCCTCAGAAGAGTTTGGATAGTCATAATTGATGACAAATTTAACATCCTCCACATCTTCATGGGGACAAAGTCATTTATGGAGGAAGAAAAAAGGTCGAAATTAGTGAGGTAGACAGAAGGAATGGACCATTGCCTAGTAGTTCACAGCGACAGCAGTACTGGAATTATTCACTCATCTGTGTTCGGGATCTCATCATGGATTTTACAGGCATAGCTTTGGAGTAAGTTTGTCTATCAATAATAAAGCTAAGACAGTTGGCACAGATTTTTTTTGACGTTTTTAAGTATGCTGTCATCAACAGTCATCCAGGTGTTAATTAATATATATATATATATAATTAGTGATGCATCAGTTCACATTCAAAGGACATTTACCGTTGAATTTTGTCAAACTTGACAGAATTTGAAAGCTCAGACTATATAAAAAAAAATAATAAAGCACAAAAGTTACTGTGATTAATTAATTTGCATGTGCACTACAAATAATGTTTAGTGAAGTTTTGATCATGTATCAATGGAAATGATTGATGATCATGAAAGTCTATCAAAATGAAAGTCCATCAAAATTAAAATTAAAAACTAGACATTTACATTGTCTTTCCAGCCCAAGTTATAGCTTATTCACGCTGTGTACACAAAATAAACAATGGAATCATTTAAATGCGCCACCAGATGAGTGCCAATTAAACAACATCCTTTCAGTCAATGAATTCTTACCTCCAAAACTGAATTTCGGTAGCTTAAATTTCAGTGCATCACTAGGATATTAATCATTCAGATAAAGCTCTGTCTTTATTCAACCTAAAGACAGGGTCTCACTAGCCGATTTTTCGAGATGGTCCACACTGCAGAAACACAAAATCCAGAGGGAGGAGTTGGATCCACATCCAACTCCTCCCACATTACATATACCTAAACCTACCCATCTCCACCCCCTGATCCCTAACCCCACCCCTAATCCTACCCATCTCCACCCCCCTAATCATACCCATCTCCGGCCTCTGATCCCTAACCACATCCCTAATCCTACCCATCTCAACCCCTTAGATCTGGATCCAACTCTGCCCCCTGGATCTCGTGTACTGCAATGAGGTTCTACTGGATTTTTCAGTCAATTTCCAATGGTCCCAGATTTTGGAAATCAGCATTCACATCATCCAAACGAACACTGACGTCAAACAAAACCGGGTATGCGCAAAAAAGTGCTAGTGTGAAAGCACTGAGCGGAATAGTGTGTGACCATTTTTTTTAAATGACTGTTTTCAGTCGACTAGTGAAAAAACGCCTTTAAGGAGACCAATAAAAACTTTGAGTACTCACCTATTCCAAATATAAATGATTAATCTAATCTTTAGTATTTTAAGTATTACATGAACATTATGTAAATTAATAATATGATTCAGTTTATATTTAAGACTATTAATAACCAGCAATACTTGAGGTAGTATTAAAGATGGGAAATGTCAAGAGTTCATTACACATAAGATGAAGGTTTTTTTTTTTTTTGACACATCTTAAAAGTCTGTTTCTTATTACAGGTTAAAAGGGGCTCTAACAACACTGCTATTGACCCTAAAAGAAAACAGTCTCCTTTTGGAAAGTGACAATGATAGTTTATGCTATTTTAGATATCTAAAGTATGCAACGCGCTAATATGGAAATACATGTCATGTATAATAATGACCTAATATACCATGGCACTTACCACACCAATTCAAACAAACTTAAAGGACATTTGCCACACTATGGAAACAGTTCTCATGAACAGGGCAGTGACTAGGGCATGATCAGGTACTTACCCTAGGTTAGGTTACTCTTGGCTGGGATCAGTCCTGGGTCCCGTGGAGCGGCCCAAGAGGAAGAGGTTAATGTGGGCTCACGCGTTGAGCTGCCCCCCCTTCACCCTCGGCCCTGCCCCAGCAACGCCAGGCGGGAGCAGAACCGGCTCTGCCCCAGTTCTCTCTCTCTCGCTGGGTTGTAGGGCCTCCACAAACCGGACCGGACTGTATCCAGCATTCTTAACTTTCTCTCCCTCTCTCTAGAACTCTGTGGGCCATTCAGCCTCAAATCTATCTTAGGGGCAGACTTTCCAGGAATCTAATAGAACCCTGAGGGGCCATAGAATTCTTTTGAGATTATTTTTCATGGTCAATCCAGATTTTGAAGAAATAAAAACAAGAAAAGTAAGCTAGCCAATGCCCCAAGCCCATAAGACTAGATAAATAGGGCCGCAGCTGAGGGAGTTTATCCATATCAAGCCCTGTGCTAGTGTCTGGTAACATGGTAGAGGGAGGCCACTGTGTCAAATTAGCACAGCATGTCTGGGCTGGCAGTTAGGAAGTCAAAAATCCTGAAGGGGAAAAAGAACAATAATAGTGTAAGACTCTCTAGAATAACCCAAACATAACCAGACAAAACAAAAGAGCAATTTCTAATATCTTTGTGAGGTCTTTGTTCACCCAGACATGAATGAGTCCAGAAAGTAGTTTTGCACAAAAAAAAAGTTCTGACCACCTCTATTCTGACTATGACTACGGATTAACATCTTCCAAGATAACAGGACACTTGTACACAATTTTTTCAGGAAGGAGACTGGCATTAGGACCCAGGGAAGAGGAGGGAAGGATAGCAGCTCCCCTAGATCCATGGTAGGGTCAACAGCGAGCCGGTGAGCCCCACATGTGCGAGGATTTTTACATTAGTAACAAGAAACAGACAGCACAAGTTTATCATGTTTGGAACAGCTTGCTTGTGGAATTTGGAAACTGACGAAGCAGTCCACCAGTCAGTCACCGTCAGCCCAGAGTCCTTTTTACCATTAAATTTGAACTTGACAACGCATCAATAAATCTCTTTTCTTCCCAGCCTTCACTTGTTTTGAGCAAAATACATAAGAGAGGAAAGGACAGGGAGGAGATAGAGAAAGACAGAGAGAGAAAGAGAGTAAAAAGATCAAACCAAATGTCCCCACTGTAAAGAGAGAAGCCATTAAGGTCTGAACCGAAATAATCCTAAACAAATAGTAGAATTCTAGGTACTGTTTTCTAGCTGTTGAAACTATAGATATAAATTTAGGTTAAAAACTGTTCTATCCTCCTACTAAAGTCTTGACAACTCTTATTCTGAAAGCATATTTTTTTCACATTTCACTTCATATTGTGGGCAGTCCATATGACAATTTTCCTGTACAGACATCTGTGGAGACTTGTGTGCAGACAACAGCACATGTGTAAGCGATTTGAGCGGTTAAAAAAAAAAGAAAGGTCCACTTGATGAACAAGATGAAGTAGAATGTGTAAAACAAAAGAGACCCTTCAAGTACACAAAACTGTTCTCTGTTCATCAACTGGACAAAAAGTAAAAGGGGCGTTCACACTGATGCAGATTAAATAACTGGAAGTTGCCAAATATCTGTGCGGTTGTGCTGATGAGAATTCCTACTGATGACTACCCATCTGTAGTATCAGGATCAGTTCATTTTTAGTAAGTTGAGTTCTACTTAGGCTAATGTCATTGCATTACCAAAAGTCACACATTGATTGAAACCTTCAATTCTCTTGAATATGAAAATGAATAGCATGGCCATTGTAAATAGTTCACCTCACTCCTTCACCCTCTCTAAATTCCCTCAGAGTAAGGCTTATGTTGAGTGAGTGATATGTTTGTCATATTTTATTTTCATGTCTATAATTTCCTCATTATTTTCTAGTAGTTTTTAATCAATGTGTACTGTGAAAAGCATTATACAAATATTTTTCACTTGATATATAAAAAAAAAAAAATTAAAAACACTTGACCAGTTTGATCCAAGTAAAACAAAAAGGTATAACTTTCTTTTTCTCAGCAAGTGTGAGAACACTCTAAGGGACATGGGACTTGGCTGTGTGCAATGACCAAGTTTCATTGTTACCAATAAGATATGACATTAGTGTGCTTATTTATCAACATTTAGGTGTCTGTCTGACATAATAGCATAATAACTAGAAAAAACAACAACTTTTGATTAGTTGTTTGCAGGGATGCAAACTCCTAAGGTGTGAAAAACGTCAAAAAATTACATATCCGAGGACATGCTTCAGTGGGAATTTCTCATGAAAGAATAAGTTTCTAACAAACATTTCAATTAATTTGAATGATTTAAAGCTATGGTATACGATGTTGAAATCGGTCGAGAAAGCCTGAGACGGAAGGGAAGTTTTAAAAAAACTCATCCCGCCCCTCCACACACACACACACACCCCTCCCCTCTGATCCCTGACCTACAGTATGTCACATTTGAGTTCACGTCAACGCAAGACTAGCAACACATGAAATGTTCTTCTAAGGTTTTGAGTAATTGTTATAGCAGCACACAGCGCATGTTGTTCAAATTCCCATCGGCTCGAACAGAAACCCACTAGGCATACTGAAATATATTCAAGCACTTCTAGAAATATAATTACTTTGACCCGTGATCAGCGATGCTAAACGGCTAACATTGCCAATGCCGACTGGCAGCATGAGCAAGTTGTCAAACTGATAAAAAGCTATGTAACACACGTCACAACATAAAAGTATAAATAAAATGTTTACCTGCTCAACAAAAAGTCAGCCGTGCCCGTGTCAGCGTCGGTTTTCAGTGCCAGATCTCCCTAAAGCTTCCTCCAACAGTCAATGTTATCCTACTTAGAGTCCGGCATCACATTTTTTTTTTTTATCTCCGCTCTTTCCTCCACATACTTTCTCTTTCGTGCAAACTTTACAGTAGGGGCAAGCAGGGGCTGCTTGCTGCTGTCGTTTATATTTTTATCCATTGCTTTATCCAGTGCTGATATGACGCTACTTAGCTAGCTACCATACACTGTCTGTCAGCTGAAATTGCTTGCGTAAGGAGGGGGGCGGGGGCGGTTGGGTTGGAGACGCGAGCGCCAGGCGGAGTTCAAGTGGAGCTGGTGATTGGATGAGAGCAGTTGACAAATGTAAGCTGTCCGGCCGGACAGCTTACATTGGTCAACTTCTCTGCGGCTGTACAGCCAATAGAGTGAATGGATTTTTTAAAATCTTTTTTCTATTCATATTGTTAGGATTGTACTATATAACCATAACCAACATATAAATGAGGATATTAATAATGAACAATCTTTGAAATCGTATACCCTAGCTTTAATGTATTTTAGGTTAAAGCTATTATACTCAAGTTTTCATGTCCCACATTTTAAATTTCTCCCAAAAAAAAGATGAGCAGTTTGCAGCCCTGTGTGAGAATGACATCTGCTTAACCAGTGCATCTCTATGGGCACAAAGTTTGAGACGGCACTAAACATTCCACAATTATGTGACTGTATGGGTCAATGTTGTACATGTCAAAGTGTTGTCTATATATTATCTGCATTATTTAGTCAGATAGTCACTCAGTTTAGAATTTTAGACAAAAAAAAAATAGAAATGGTTCTGAATAAATATCAAGTATCAGACCATACCCAGACCCCGTGAGGCAACGTCAGTAGCGATCAAAATTGGAGCTTTTCCACTGCGGAACTCTGGAAATACATGACACACAGCACAACAAAGTGAGAACTGTCAGGAAAAAATGTGACAACCTGCTTCAATAAAATGTTAAGCTTAAAAAAAAAAATGCACCTGTTAGCACCCAGTCCCTCTCTGGTTGGCTTTTGTCACCATGAATACACATTGCAGGCCACCTGGATGAAGACAGAACACACATTGTATCAGCATACTATATGATTTTATAAAAACTGTTAAGAGGGATTATAAAGGTCTCTCACCCATCTCTCCGCATCCTGCGAGTCAGTTCATCACAACGTTTCTTTGTCTCGACAAAGATGATGGTTTTGTTCTCCTTTTCAGCCATGATTTCCTCCATCAGCTGAATCAGCCTTTGAGCACAAACATTTCTTTGAAACATTTTCATCTTGATTTATACAGACAAATGGGAAAGTAGACCAACACAAATCGCAATGACTATAATAAAAGCTCAATAAATTTCATATCCAATACTTCAGCTTACTTGTTGTCTTTTTCATTTTCCATGCAGACATCCACTATCTGCAGGATGTTGTGGTTTGCGCTTAGTTCTAGAGCTCCTATATTGATTTGGACATAGTCATGGAGGAAATCTTCAGCCAGCTGACGCACTTCTTTAGGCCAGGTAGCACTCCACATGAGAGTCTGTCTGTCAGGCTAAAGGAAACATGAACAGCAGAAAACGTAAAAGATTGAGCTTGAAATGTATTCAGAGGAAACTGATTATGGGGAGCAATCTTAAACACAGACCTGGGGCCTCATTTATAAACGTTGCGTACGCACAAAAGAAGGCGTACGCAATAGTTGGTATTTATAATAATCAAACCTGACAGTAAAATGTGCGGTCCTTCACACAAGCTCCGACCCAGGCGTACGCACAAAAACGGGTGAAATGAGAAATGGCGACACCGTCGGCAGTTGAAAGAAACACGTGAAAGTGTGTGAAACTGTAGACGGTTGTGTAAAATAAATACTGCCTCTCATAAATATCACAAAAACTTCACAAAGCAAGTCTTACAATTAACAGCCTACACGAACACCCGTTTGATCGATCTGTAACAGAATGCAAATTAACACATATTTCCAAAAAGAAAAGTGAAATATGTTCTGCAATAATATTGTCATGTTATACAATTCATCCTAATAAATAAGATGGTAAACGAAATAATGTACAAAACTGATATTCTCGCCAATGTGTCCGTCTGGCGGAGCAGATAAAGATGCAATTAGATAGTAGGCCTAGTCAGTCAGATGGATAGATAATTAGGGAGAGATAGATAGATTGATATAGATAGATGTATTATTTGTCCACTGGGGAAAGTTGTTTTCATAGTAAAAATGTCTTCATCAGCTACGGAATCATGGTATTCATGCATATGCCTTTAGTTTGTTTTTATTTTTGATAAAAATAACATATGACGTATGTCTCAACCATTGAGAAAGCTGCAAGAAATTACATTTGCGCTGAACTATTTCCCATTTTCAAGTAGATTATAACCGGCATCTGTTGTCAGATGCAACTAAATGCATGGAAATAAAATGCCCCATCACAAAGCGTAATGACGCACAATAGCTGATATCGCGCTTTAGAAGATGTGGCAAATGGAAGGATTCGGAGTAAACGCATCATCTTCACAACAAAATGTGTGGAAAAATATAATATTTATTCAAGAATTCCCTCATTGTGCAGTTTATTTCAGTTAGGACAGTCTTGATTTCCACCTCTCTAATTGAATTAATGACTAGGCGCTTTTTTGCCTCGACTTTGATGTCCGACCATTTCTTTTTTATTTCGGCCACAGTCCGAGGTTGTAAGGCTACAGCATTTACGGCGTCTGCAACCTTTTGCTACTCAAGTGCCTTTTTGGCATTAGTAATGCCCACACTGTGCCCTCCAAACAAAATTTTCTCGTCTTTTCAACCTCCCCAACGATAACTTCTACTTCATATTGAGTGAAGTTATGTTTTTTTTTATTTCCTCTCTGTGTTTGCCATGATTTCGCAATGGATGAATATTAACTTGTAGGCGTTTCACAGACTATTTATAGGCAATTATGGGCGTGACATGAAGCCGCAAAAGCTGCGCTACATTTAGAATTGATTGTGATTTATGAAGGGAAAAATGCGTAGGATGTGCGCGCGCACGGTTTTATAAATCCGAATATTTCTGTGCGTACGCACGTCCAATGTTTCATCCGTACGCCAATTCTGACGCAAATCCTACGCAAAGTTTTATAAATGAGGCCCCATGACAATTTTCTGAGTGCATAATCATTACTGATTAAGATTCTCAGTCTAGCATTGCTGTGAGTGTAATGTTAACATCCATAAACTGTCAAATTCTTTTTCAATTGAACACTGGAGACTGTTTCACAAAAGGACAGAACTTACTCTAATTTGGTCAAGAATTTTGCGGATTTGGGGTTCAAAACCCATGTCCAACATACGATCAGCCTCATCTAGCACCAGGTAGGTGCAACGGCGCAGGTTGGTTTTTCCTACCTCCAGGAAGTCGATCAGACGGCCAGGTGTGGCAATGCAGATTTCAACACCTTTAGGAGGTCAAACAATGTTAATAGAAAGAAAAGCTCTTAACTATTCCTGCTCTATTAATCAAAAAATATTGACAGTTCCTATAACACTAGTCCAGGAAAAGGGTTGAGAACCACAACTCAATCCAACTTTTTTCTACACCCCATGACGCTGTGCATGACTTATGGGAGTAATTCCATTGAACTGTTAACAATCAGTGGTATGTTATAATTGTTTGAAACTCTCTCTCTTTGAGACTTTGGCTCCCCAACTAAATGGCCAAAGTTCATATTGTTGTAAATACATTGTAAATTTTTCAAAATCCCTATCATCTACCCCCAGAGCACTTGGAATACAGGGTTCCAGACTGCGACCAAATTGGTCGCATATGCAACCATTTTTTGAGAATATGCGAGTTAAAATTATATGTGGTTGCATATGTGCGAGTGGACGCTTGCACAACAGAACGCTGTTGTATCAGCTGCTGCAGTCCGTAACTTATGTTCAGAATGAACGAGTAGGCTACATAATGAATCCATTTTCCAAACCGTGTTTTTGACTTATTCTGAAACACTACGGTACGCCTATAATAAGTGTTTATATTTGGAGTCGGAATATTTTATCCCGGGGTCGACTCGGATGCGGAGTTGCCCAGTGCCTGCGTGACTTGCCATAGACATTAATGGAGAGAAGTAGCTCTGGCTACAGTGTTCTTCCACAAGACACGTGCAGTTTATTTACTGACGAACGTAGACGTCACGCGCATTGCACACTGATGGTGGAACGGGCCAATTACGAATTCACAAATTAAAGCATATAAAAATGAAAATGTCTCACGAAACAGTGTGCCCCTTCCTACGTCTTTTCAGCAGTTAGATGGCAGTAATCGCTTGACTGAGAAAAAGGAAATTATTGTAAAATGCAGAAGGTAAGGAGTGTGAGATTTCTGATTTTTGTTACAACTATAAACTTTGATAACGAAAAATCTGTATTAGCATATTATAATTCTCTAATCTTTTAAAATGTAATGCAAACATTTGAATGTTTAATGATTTTTAAAAGATAGAAAGATGATGCTGATAGAAAGATGCTAATAAAGATGATTAACTGGAAAAGTTAGTCTGGAGCCCTGGAATATGCAATACGTGTTGCATGAGATCATTCAGTAATAGTTTTGAATCTTTTTTTAAAAAGCTTGATGCTAGTCACTTTTCACTGCTATTTATATGATGAGCAAGAGTGGGACATTTTTTTTTTAAATTCTCCTTTTGTGATCCATAAAAGAAAGAACCGCATACTGCAAAGGAACAACACCTCAGACAGTTATGACTTAATTTTCATATTAAGGTGAACGGCCTTTAAAGCTCTATAAATGCAATAAGCATTTTCAAACATAAATGGCACCATAAAGTCATAATTACTGGCAAACGCTGTGATTTAATTACATATACTGCATGTTTAAAGTTAAAGCATGGTACTGTGTTCTAGGAATTAAATGAATAATAAAATGTTCTCAGAATAATCATGATTATATATATATATTTGTTTAATCACATTTTGTTAGTGTGTTGTAGATGTTGGTCAGTTTCCATACCTCTTTCTAAATCTCTGATCTGTGGACCTTTAGGAGCTCCACCATAAACACAGGTACTCTTGATTCGGGATGATTTGCCAAAGTCATAAGCCACTTGCTGCACCTGCTGGGCTAATTCACGTGTCGGTGCCAACACAAGACACTAAACAGAACAGAAAGCAGGAAACGGCAGGATTGAAGAATGTACTAACAAAGCACTATGGATTCATTTTGACCATCATAGTGTGCATCATCAACAACAGTACACCATTCTGATTCTACTTATTGTGGTAAAAGTTGTTTGTCAACTTACGATGGGCCCATCCCCTCTCTCTGGGTATGGCTGATGGTTAATGTGCACTATGGCAGGCAACAGATACTGTGGACAACATTGAAATAAGTAAACATGACATGAGTATACTTGGAATGGGTATTCAAGTCTCTGTGTTTTTGCTGGCTGTTGGTTGTAGATGTAGGTTTCTTACAGACAGTGTTTTTCCAGAGCCAGTCTGTGCGATGCCCACCATGTCCCTGCCACTGAGAGCCAAAGGAAAACCTTGAGCCTGGATAGCAGTGGGCTCCTTAAAGTTATGCTGCAGCAGCACTTCCATCACATATTCTTAAAAAAAAAAAAACCACAGAAACAATATTCAATATTCTTATACGCAACCACAGCTCTACAAGACCAGATTCTTGACCCAGGGTTTCCTGTACGGTCCTTTGCAGTTTTCATGTTAGTTACAAACAAACAAAAGGATGTTGTGCTGTTGTGCCTGCACAGCAAACAAAAAATGAATAAGACAACTCATTATTCCAGAGTCGTATAAAAGATTTGTTCAAAATGAATGATTGACCCACCACTAGCAGAAAATAATGTGTTTCCATCACTGGATGAAGAAAAAAAAATGTTCAACACACTCATGTGAATTAAACTCACGAGGGAACTGAGCTTGATGGAATTTGGTGACAGGCTTTGGACAGCCGGAGCCTCTGACGGTTATCTCTTTCCTCTTGCGATATTCTTCAACATCATACTAATTAATATACAAAAGATAAATATTAACACAATCAGAAAATGGTAGACCAGAAAAAAATACTATATTGATTAACCAAAATAACATTTTAATTTATTTACAGGGAAAACCTTGTTGACTACAGAAACCCATTTCAGACTCAACGTTTTTTCTTCTTCTTCTTCTTCTTATGATTATTATTTTTATTCAGTTATTTCTTACCGGACTCATGTGTTGAACCTCTGGGTGTTCGCTGTAGAAGTTCTTCTCAAATTTGGGGAGCTGGTCAAGGTCCCATTTCTTTTTCCTCAGCCGATCTCCTGGATTCCCAAACTTCTTAGGTGGAGGTTGGACAACACGACTTGATCCAAAGCGAGCCCTGTGAGGGATACATTTCTTTAACTTTGAATCCTTTTGCTGGCCACAAACTAAACCCAAAATATTAATTATCTAATATCCAATTAAAAATGATGTTATTAAATGTTTTAAAACACACAAATAAACAAACATCAATAATGGCTCACCCTCTGTCCCGTCCTCGATCTCTGTCTCGGTCTCCATACGAGTTACTTCCTCTCATTTTCTTTACCCTACAGTACTAAGTTAAAGTAAAACCCCAGCAGAATAATCACCCTTTTCCTCCAGAACAAAACGAAGTAAGGCTGGTCCTGGTGTCTTACCTGGTTTGTAGAAATGTATTTTTCTGATAGCAAGTGAATGTTAGTGTGTAAAAACTGCACGTATCTCTTTACAGCATGAAAACAGTCTTTTACAAACAACACACCTGCGAAAAATATACCAGCTTTGAGTTAGACAAACAACATCTTCGTGCGTACTGGGTTCAGTAAAATGTCGTCTGCCACTAAGCAACTAGACCCGCCCCGTTTAATGTCGTAGAATTTTGTGCGTAGGGATAATTTGTAAGTACACAAACAACGCAACGAAAACTGCGTAGTGTGAAGATGAATTCGCGTAAGTGCGTAAAAACCATAGATTGTAAACCATAGGTAAAAACAATGGTGAACCTAACGGATTTGAATATCTAAAGGAGGCTTATCCAAATTAATGGCGCTTTGGGTGACTACGAAATTCGTTCGTCAAGTTTAGATTAATATAAAATAATTTCAAAACTGTTTTATAGCTGTCACAACAAAAGATAGGACTGTACTGTTGCTGTGTCTGAAACCGATCTCATATCCACTAAATAGTGCCCTATATAGGGTATCGGCCATTTTGTAGTGGTGTCCTCATTCTGAGTGAACGACATCGTTCGAGCCATAGATATGCATAATAAAAGGCTCTTTTGTCATCACCGGCGGCCATCTTGTCACAGGCAAGCGAAGCTTTCTGGCGGGCTCTGTGGTTCCTGATGTGAGCTGAGCCAAAGAGTATGTAGGTATGTATGTGGACAAATAAAACAAATTAAAACTCAACAAATAGACAAATGGATAGCATATGTGGAAAGATCTGGGTACCCCCTTTACAAAAAAAAAGGTAAATATGTCAAGTATGAAGAAAGTTACAACATTTTATAGTTCAGTAATCAGCGCCTATTATCGTCTCATTTCTAAGGTGAAAAGAATAGAATTTAGTGTGACTGAAAACAAGTTGTTTTTTCACAAAAATGCTCATAACTTTCTCAATATTCAAGATATCTTAATGCAATTTTCTGTGGAGATGGGTTTCATATAGTTATTTGGATCTAACGTGGGTTTCATATACTTTATTTGGATCTATACTTGATTATAAAGACTGATTTGGCCTATCTTTTATGGTATTTTTCTGACGAGCAGTTGTTGAAAATACAAATAATTGAATGGAAAACAACGATCCAAGGAAAATGATATATCCTTAATTTAAAAGATGTATTTTGGTTGATTCATGCTATTTCCAGTAGTGTAAGAATATAGAGTTAACAATACTAATGCTGGTGGAGGAAAGAAAGTGGAGGAGACCACACAAATGTTGAGTGTAGCCTACACGACGCACTGCATTTTGACAGCTTTTCTACAGGTAACGTTCAGTGGCGGTAGTCATAAAAAAAGTGGGGGAGTTTAAATGGCCGCGAAATTTTGTACCGCGCACCACAAACATATGTTCTTCATGTCTACCTTCCTCTGAAAAGTGTCCAAAGTGGGTAAAAATAATTTCTTGACAGTTGAATTCTTCCGTATTGTTTGTAATCGCCTTTCAGGAGAAAAATGCAGCCTGACTAGAAAAAATTTAAAACAAATGTGCAGTCGAAAACCCTAATGATGTGATTGGCTAAAAATAATCAAGGATTCAGCGAGTCAATGAAAACGGCGCATTTTAGGAGACCCGCTCAGAGTGATTTGGGAAAATCCGGCACAGAGATTTGGAACACAATGGCGGCCGCTATTTATTGATATGTCCACATACCTAGAGTATGAGCTGATCAGCACAAACACAAATAACGTTACTCTTATCTCGGTGAAATCTTGAAGGATTTACAAACGTTACTAACGTGGCTATAATTCTGGATGATTATTTATACACTTATTATTCATAAGTATGCAGTGTCATAACTACATCTACAACAAACCAAACCGTTTGAAAATCGGTAGAAAATTGAGCAAGTTATGGTTATTTAAAAAGTACATGCACCATTAAACACAATGTTACAAGTGAGCGAGCTGCCTGTGACAAGATGGCCGGCAGGTGTGGACGTCGACCTCCATTGGCCAGCAGTGCGGACCATAGACAGTAAAAGAGGTGCGGACGAGACATCTAGCCTTTATTATCTTCTTATACTGTCTATGTTTACTATGATTTGAACACCCTGAAGCCATAGAGGCTGAAGCAAGGAGAGAGTGCGCGAGTTTATACGAAAGATGCTTTAACATTGATTTATTTCACACTGGTTCTAGTTTTTACTTTTTTATCATTAATGTTACTTGATTAAATATAGAGATGCAATACTATATGAAATTTGAAATTAAATAAATTAGGTAAATTGTGTTTTATATTATATAGTGTAGGCATTAACTTAATTAATTGAATGTGCTTTACAGCTACTAATAGACCTTATTCAGAGCAGCGCCATGACAGGTATGAAAGTGAGGCTGTGAGGGATAGACTTACCGTGTTTCCAATGGCATCCGCTGTAAAAAGCTGAATAAAGCGGCTAGATTACTTACAATTTCCCACAGTTTACATTGTCAGGAGTTTTTTGTCAACTGACATTTCTTTGAAAGATATTTTTCCAGTGTTTCATGAGCAGAACAATACGAAAACACATTAAATAACAGTACAGCCCATTGGAGAGATGCAAGTCTATCCCTCACAGCCTCGCTTTCATTCTCATTAAAAATCAAAGATGGCGCTGCCGTAAATAAGGCGTATTTGTGGCTCACAACCCCTATGCTCACAACACTGTAAGGAAGAGATTATCAAGATTATTTAAAAATTTTCGTTAATCACTGAAGGTAGGTTTTTTTAATGTAATGTTTTATCTTCCTATCTGCCTTGTTTTGTAGTTTTTTCTATTATGGACTTTGGGACACAGGGTTAATTACATTGATTTACTGCTTGCTGATACACATGCCATAGATAGACCAGTGGTTCCCAACCACACAGAGTCCCACAACACTGCACATTTTCAGTAGCACCTCAATGCAGCACATGAAATCCACGGGAGTCGGATCAAGGGGTGGAGATGGGTAGGATTAGGGTTGGGTTTAGGGATTAGGGGTGGGTTTAGGAACAGGGGGCAGAGTTGGGTAGGTTTAGGTGTATGTAAGGTGGGAGGAGTTGGATCTGGATCCGACTCCTCCCTGTGGATTTCATGTTCCGCAGTGAGAACCATCTCCACATTTTGCTTGTCTCCTCAGTCAAACACACCTGATTCAGGTCATCAGCTCATTCGTAGTGACTCAAAAATCTGAAATGGGTGTGTCAGACAAAGGAGACAAATGTGCAAATGTGTTGGGGCTTGGGGGGCATCGAGGAATGTGGTTGGGAACCACTGCCATACACTAGGGATTAGTGAATGAGTGAGCGATTTCGGACACAGCTGTTTCTTATTCTTTTACCACAAACAGTTGTAATTAGTCAACTGCACAGTGAAAAGTCACAGATACCATGTTACGGCGGTGTTCCGTTCACATGTGACAACAAGTACATTTTCGTCCATTGACGTGTAACAAATACTAATATTTCAATAACATCTGATGTATTGATACATCCTGTTTGATTAAACTAAATTACAATTATGCAGTGTTGTTTGGTCCTATAAGACATGGAACTGTATGTTCCAGTGTGGTAGAAAAAAGTGTGGAGTTTGCATGTGTGGGTTTCCTCTGTGTGCTCCAATTTTCCAAACAATCCTAAGACATGCAGCATGTATTGGACTCTAAATTGTATAGTGTATGTGAGTGCAAATGTGTTTGTGTCTGTGTGAGCCATATGAGACTGGCAATCTGCCCAGGGTGTCCTAGCCTGTGACCCGAGATATTGGGAAAGGAATCCCTCCAACTGTCAGTCTGCAATGAGCAAGGGATAGAGAGGAGGTGCTCTAAAATAAAACCCTGGCCTCTATTTAATGAACCCTTTTCACATTTCCGGGTTTCTCATAAGCAGAAGTCATCATAGTCGGGTGAACTTCTATTGCAGATAAAAAAAATAAAAAAAACCTCCACAATAGTGTTTTTTTTAAACTTTCAAAAAATTGAGATTGATAACAGCAATAAGAAAAGAGAAAGACGACAAATTTCCCATCACTCCCACAGCCGCTGTAATAGAAACAGCCACACTGCAGTGTTAACTAGTTTCTTGTAATTTTCTGCATATGTAATATAATATAAATGATAGTGTAATAAATTTTCATACATAAAAAAACCTTGAAGAATTGATGAAGCTGATCATCAGGGTCTGTAAAAAGGGTCCAACAAGATTGGTCCAACAACAATAATTCATTTTGGAGCTTGGAATAGAATACTAAAAAAAAAACTAAAATAATCACACTCCACCTACACTCTAAATTCTGTTTACAACAATGCGTTTATTCTATTCAATTCTCTATTAACTTATGAATAATTATTGAAAAATAATAAAAACTTTGTTAAAGTGTAATAATTTTTACTTTGAATAACCAAAAGTCAAAAATAATTATGAATCTGAAATAATGAATATAATAATGAATAATGAAAAATTCTACAGCCCAAATACTGTTAAAATGAAAACTTGCGTTATTGGGATCTGGCTCTGTGTTACAGTACATTTTTTTATATAGTCACAAATACAAATGAATAAAACACTCAAATGAATGTAATAAGACAATACTGGACAGATTTTATTCTTTTGTGGCACATGCTTGGATAATGTTTATAAAGAAGACAAAATAATGGTGGAGGTCTGGATTCTAAAGGATTCAATACAAATCTTAAGATCAATATAAAATCTTTAAACCAATCAAACAGTATCAGTGCAGTAAATAACAGTGTCAGATAGGTTTACCTGAAATTGTTTTGATAGCTAGTCACACATTATTTCAGTCTTTTAACCTATTACAAACTTTTTCAAAACCAATGACAAAGTGATATATCATAAGTGAAAAAAGTCGTGTTGTATGGAAATGACTTTCTCTCAGCTTATGTACAGTTAGACATTTACAGATACCATGTAAAACTAGGAGACTAAAAATTAAGTCTGCAGAGTAACTAAATTTACCACATGATTTGATGTCATTTTCCTAATTGCCTGAACTAAAATGCAATCCATCTGTTAATACAAACAAAACGAATGTAATGACAATTTATTTCAAGGTTTAACTGAAATGGTATTTAGCTGCCACTTAAGAGCACTAAAATGCAATCATCTTTTTTGTGCACTATATGTCCAGTATGTTATCAGTTAGTATTCAACGGTGACACACTTAGTCTT